ATTGGCGTCTGATTCGGGTCGGATGGCTTCCACGGAAGGTGTTGTCCGCATGAAGATGGCGACCTCGAATCGGGTGATGTCCACGGAAAACGTTGGCCAGCATTAAACCCGAGTGAATAACCGGTGTCCGGGCCTCCGTATTCGGCTACACGTAGTGTGTAGTCTGCCAGATTGTACGTTTCGGGGAATAATTGCGGTGACTGAAAATAAAATATTAGAGTAGTACAAAATGTTGGTTGAGAAATAAAACTTACCATGCATCGAGGTGCGGGCACATCATCAAAAAATGAACACGACGACGACGACATATTAATATATATTAAATTAGAACACGATCACAAATGCTCAGCTCTAGAGGCTGACTGAATCGATACCGAACTCTCACGCGTCAGCATATAAATTTTCACTACATCTGATCGATGCCTTATCACAGTGCGGATGAGCGGCGATTTAAAAAAATAATATTTTCAAGACCGTGGTATAAGGTCGACCAAGTATGTTCTGAGATAAGAACTGTTTATTTTTATTTTTTCAAATAAGAGTAATGAGTAACTCAAGCGACTTCGAATGTATATATTTAACCTCAGAAGGATAATATCAGGCGCAGTACACGTGTGTATATTTTTTAAGGGRTGATGTATAGTTTATAAAATATATTTAACGCAGTACAGTATACGTTGAAACATGAGGCGCGTAATAGGTACATTCGCAGGTTATAATATTACATATTAATAATACGTAATATTAACTAATACACAGAAATACACGTCTCGCGATGATGTTAAGTGCTTTAACTACGAGCGATTCTAAAATAATAATAATAATAATTTTAAAAACAATGTTATATAGAAATTGTATTAATATTATATTTATCATTGTTCATAAAAATTATTTTTCTACACATGCGACAGGCATATTTCGCAATTATACAATATAGATGTACAGATATTTTAACAGAATATGTATATTATATTATATTTACAGATATTTGCTAATTAAGCAATAATAATTAAAATTAATTTGCTCGGTAGTGCCCGTGCGCTAGCGTGTTTATTCTATCGGGTAGAATACAACGTTTGTCGTCTGCCCTGTTCAAGACGAGTTTCATTGACATAATTGTTCGCACTTCGTGCTTAAACGACCGTATAGACACATTTTCTCTATACGGCGTGAAAGGCATATAGCTGTAAACGTGGGATGGGGGCGTGATCGTCGACGACTGAGTCGAATGCGTAGCAGGTATTGAGGCGTTCCGGTGTATTTGGGCGACTGCTTTTAGCGCTGAATCGGCTGAGATCATTTTACCCATAGTAGCGTCAAATTCGTCGTCGCACTCGTCGGATTCTACATCGTCGTCCGCTCGTCCGCGTCGGCAAATAAGCACCGCTTATGTTCGGCAAACGTCAGGTGATTACGAATCACGTGCCCCATAACGCCCTTAGCATGAATGCAGACGYCCTGCTCCACGTCGTAGGCGTAAGACTTGGCACGCAACGCTACGAATTCGTACACAGTGCGGGAATCGGTCTCATTTTTGAACAGGCCCGGAATCCGTTTCCTAACAGTTGAGTAACACTTGTGATCGGGCGGTAGATTGGAGGTGTCCATAAACCGCATAAGATTCGGATTGGCTGCCAAGTCGTCGTAAAAATCTTTTGTCTCCACACGGNACTAAGGGGCTGATGCTATTAACCGAAGAGTGATGGACTGGGAAGCTTTGATAGTACGGACTTGGGAAGGTTTGGAACACTCCCAGATTTGAGTACCGAACGTTCAAATGGACCTGAGTAGAGATTTGAATAATGTGGACTTAGTTTGTATTTTGAGAATAATTGGCCTAGGTAGATGGAGGCGGTTGTTAAGGATTTTAATATGTTTGGACTTTAAATGTGGTCTCAATGTTAATCTTTTGTCTAGTAAAATGTACAAATATTTTGCATAATTCGAAGTAGGAATCTCGACTCTTTGAAGTTGAAGTGAGGGGAGTTGTTTTTTTTCCAGTGTAAATGGCACATGGAAAGATTTATCAGGAATTATTAAAGTTTTCCCCTTGTTAATTAAGTTTAGAGCCAATGGTTGTTTTAATTATACTCTTTAATTAGCCAACAACTTAATACAATTACACAGATAGACATTACTAATTGACATATCTTTTTTTCTATAGATTTAATGCAATATGCACACTGATAAAAATTAGTGCTAATTAAAACCCATTGTGATTGTGTTACWAATATCCAATATTTTATTATTTCTTCTAATGTTTAATTTTTTCATGAAATTTGTAATATTAATATCGGTATACAAATGCAAGAAATAATGTCATAATATGCCCAAGTTTCTGATAAAATGAAAAATGTTATTTAACTTGAGTTTAACAGATAAAAAAAACTTATCAAACAAATTATATAATTTCAACTGCATGGTTATTTATAACATTGGTTATCAGGTATATTTTAAATAAATATTAAAAATTATGATTGAATAAAGCATTGGCAACTATGGTCATTAGAATTTGTAGGAAGATTACGGTTGGTTGTAGTAACACGTATGTAGCCAAGCCACGTAGGAGTCGTACTGTCGTAGTAGGACGTAGATATAAGAAATTTAGATTCGTCACTCGTCAGTAATAAKTAATAACCGGTATTCTACCTAAAAGTCCGGTATAAAAAGACCCGCGAAAAAAAGTCCGGTTTATTTATTATCGGTTAAGTTTATCGTTTGTTGGCGACTTTATTTGGGTCACCTAATACTAATATCTTTCAGTATTATCCATTATAGGAATCTAATCTTTATTAGCTATATGTTATAATTATCTTCACTTACCTTTTTTAACAAATGTTCAATCGATGTTTTGTGGATGAATGATTTCGTATTTTAGCAGAGGAAAGTACCTACTTGGTATTGTGACGGAGATTTTAATCTTACTTGGTTTATCGTATGATAATTTAGCAAGATTTTTTTATGTTACATTTTAATATTGTTCTACTTCCAATATATTCTTATCGCTTGCAAGATTGTGTTGTTTCGTTAATTTTGGAATAGAAATGTCAGCGGTCATGGTTACAGCGTTTATGATACAAAACATCGACTGAGCATTTGGTAAAATAACCAGGGTAAGTGAAGATAATTATAACATAAAGGTAATAAAGATTAGATACCTATAATGGATAATGTTAAAAGATAATAGTATTACTCAACTTAATAAAGTCGCCAACAAATTAACAGTAAACTAAACCGGACTTTTTTTCGGGGGTCTTTTTTATCGGACTTTAGTTCGTACATTCCTAATAACCCGGGTGGTCACCCATCCAGGAGCTAATGACGTCAGACGATGATTGATTGCAGCACAATCAGTGGTTAAACTGAGGGGGGACGWAGGAGGACTGAGTACCCCTTCTTATTTACGGTTAGATTATGCGTCCCCTTTAATTTAAGTCTCCAAAGTCTAGGGGGACGCTAAAAAAATAAATTTATTGTGAATTTAATAATATGTTGCATGTTAATTTTAATAATT